AAACCAGTTTCTCCTCTAATCCACACACCATCTCATGCAGTCCTTCAATCTAGCGAGTTCCCCATTTGGACCAGGCCACAGCTCTTGTCCTTCATCCCTCCTCAGCCTTTTTTGGACACTAGCCTTCTTGACTTACTCTTCCTTAGCTGCATGAACCCATTAGCAGCCTTTACTTCCTCATTCCTATTAATATATCTCAAAAATTTATCTTTACCTGATGCAAATCCATTTGGAATTGGAAATATACATTTAAGGTCCTTTGGCTCTAAAAACAATGACCCCAGTAGGGTTGCCAGCAAGATCACCAATCCTAAGCAGAATCATCAGACAGACAACTGGTCAAGGGGACCCCTAGTCAATCCACTTGCAGATCAGCCAGTTCTTACCATACCAGTTTCCTCAGGTCTCTTTAGCCAGGTCACCCAGCTGTCTTGACAGGTCCTCAAACATCTGCCCACACTTCTGGGGTCTCTCAAGCCCTACTACTGATATGCATTAAGTTTTTCAGCTCTCAGCCCCCACTTATCCAGTTAATCTGGGGTTTTCAAATTCTGAGAGTCTCTATAGAAAAATAAACAAGAGTAAAAAAAACGGGGGGGGGGACTTTCAGGTTTAAATATTGCGATTTTTTCTTCCTGATACTAATCTATCTTAAAATTGAGTCTATGGGTTCCTTCTCAGCTTATAACAGTATTTTCAACCAGGGGTGATTTTGCACCCCAGAGGATATTTGGCAAAGTCTGGAGACATTTTTGGTTGCTACAACTAAGGGGATGCTACTGGCATCTAGTGGGTAGAGGCTAGGGATGCTGTTCAGCAAATTGCAATACACAGGACAGTCACCACAGCAGTTACCCACATCCAAATATCTGTCACCAGTGCAGAGGCTGAGAAATCACGAACTAGGTTTGCTCACTGGTTCTAAAACCCCTTCCCTTGGAGTGGTCCCACATCTCCATCTGAACCTTCCCTGCTTTCTCCTGGACTATCTCCCTTTTTCCTGTCCAATTCTCCAACTGTTCTATCACCAAATATATTTCTTCCCTGGACAGTTTTCTCTGATCCAGTGATCTCAAATTCTAGGAAGATTGATTGCCAATCTGAGTTTATGGTTCTCCACCTTTCTTCTAAACTTCAGATCCTTTCTTCCAAATAATGGGTTGTTAAAAATCTCCACCAGACTGCCACATCCTTTTTCATCTCTGCCATGTCTGAAATCGAATTGGTTCCACCATCTTTACCAACCCACCATCTTTACTAACTCCTCTCCAGGTCCTCCCCTCACTTTCTTGTCCTACTCCCAATATCCCATCATCCCAATGCCCATCTTTGACTTCTTCACCTTTTGTGTTCCTCTTAAGTGCCTTCCTAATTCTTTCATTGTGTCTGGGTCTCTCCCTTAACAGTCAGGGGCACCCTCAGCCTCCTGGGTGCATGACTCCTTTCCTTTGTTCTCTTCATCAGGCCCAGTTTCCACATTGCTTCTACCTTTACTAAAACTTGGCTCAATTCCTCACTTGTAGGACAAAAAAACTTTCAATGCCTTTTCATCTTCTAATAAAACAGCCTCAAAGGTATTTGCTTGGGTGCTTCATGGCATCCTGAGAGAGATCTAATCCAGTTTGCCCTGCCTTCTCTCTCACTACTCCTCCAATATGGGCAGCCTGGTGAAGATTTTTAACAGCCCATTATTTGGGAGGAAAGGTCTGAAATTTAGAAGAAAGGTAGACAGCATAAACTCAGATTGGCAATCAAAAGTGGCCTGTTCTGTTTACCCAGCCATGCTCCAAGTTTCCTACCATTGGATCCTTTGTTCCTAATAGGCAAACGTAACCCCGCCCCCTTCTATTCATAGCTAAGGTGTTTGTCCTTCCACAGAACCCATTTGAAACGCCATTTTTGCCATCACGACTTTCAAGGTTCCTTTAATTAAAGATCTTTTCTTTCATTTGTATGTTCCTCTGTATCTTAGGAGGAGGGACTGGTATCTGCCCAATCTTTATCCTCTCAAGGTACTCCCCTAGCAAAGAACCATGATACAAGAAAGAATGTGGAACAAAGGGGCCCCACAGGCCAATGAGACCTTGAATCCGTTTTTCCATGAATGGTGCTCTGGAAGTGGGCGCAAGGTGTGGCGAGACCAAACCATCCCTTTGGAGTCCCCATCTCAGCTTCGCTGGGGCTCCAACCCCAACGTCTACTGACCTTCCACTTGTGCAGGGCTCAGCATCCCTGGGGCCTCAACTCCTTATTCATCCTGGACTGCTCCTCTGCATCGGGGCAGTAAGCTCTCTCCCCAGGGTCCTGGCCCACTACCTCCAGGCCCTGGAAATCTTCAGTGTGTTCGCCTCGCCTCGGCAGCGGTCCCTCTGTTGGGTAGGCTAGGCTACCGCCATTAGCGAACCCAAAGGTTGGCCCCTGGGAGCCCCCGACCTCCTCACTCGGCCTTTGCGACTTGTGGCATCAGAAAGACTGACCCCACGGCGCTAGCGATCCTCGTGGCCTTCCAGGCCTGGCCGCTGTACGCCCGCCCACCAACCGCTTCCAACCACCCCAACAGCACAACCTCTTTGGGCGTTCCAACGCGGCGCCCCCTATTGGACCTCCCACCCATATCCGGTTTCCGGTCCGACGCCCCCTGCTCATTCGCCAGGCAGCCTTGATTGGCGTGACCCCAGCCCAATAGCTGACCCGGTGTTGGGGTCGTAGGGGAGTGAGTTGCTTGTTGGTACCCAGTGGGCCCATTCAGTGGATCCTTAAATGCTTAATCCATCGACCATGAGGGTAGTTGGCCAAACTTTGAACCAAAGTTCAGTCTTGCCATCAGGAAGTGTGTAGACCCACCGAGCTGAGGCATTATGCCCTTGGGAAACCCCAAACGTTACCTACAGGCCGACTTTGTCAGCTTTCCTCCGTGCAGCGCGGCCACGTGGATGGTGGTACAGAGGGGCAATAGTGTGCCGTGGCGGTGGTACCCTGGTTCAAAGAAGGATACATTAAACTTAGCGGAACCAGACCGTGCAGTAGCTCCTCTGCCTGAGGCGCGTGTACCGCGATCTGTGCCGCGCGCCTTTCTTGCCGCAGCCCACCTCGCGTAACACTCATCTGGCATCCCTCCGCCACGAATTCTGCAGGCAAGGTGATCACCTGCCCGCTGCCCACCTACTCTTGCAACTGAAGGAGGTTTGAAAATCCCTGTCACCTGCTAGTGAGACTGACCACGATGCGTGCGTGCCGGGTTTTACGTGATCTAGGAGCGGCAATTTCCCCCCAGACTCAAATCCCTCTGCAGACGCCAGACCCAAAGCAGTGTGTGTTCATGCATCGAGCCCACCAGGTGATGTGGTTATTTACCCTCTGTGGGTTTGGAGTCCACCGTGGTTCCGGAAGGGGCGCGCAGCTCTGCGGGCGAGCGCTGGGTTTGTGGCCGCGCTTAGTGCCACCTCGGCAAACTACAACAGTGGAAAAGTAAAGCGAGTGTTCTAGGATCATACCCGGAAGGAGAGGGACTGGCAGGGGGCTAGAGATTGATTAGAGGTACTGGCGGACCGACCCTGCAGCCAGCTGTAGCTGGCGCCCGAAGCCGGAATCAGCGCATCGCTGCCGCCGTTGCCGGCGCGGCTCAGTTGAGAAACCGTGGATTAGGTGCGCGTAGCGTTTTCTAGTCTTTGAGACCACCCTAAATTGGCCATAAACCTCTACAAAAACCCTTTTTAACCCTTTCCCGGGATGCGGAAGTCTAAGGCCTGAGCTGGGTAGGGTCTCACTGTGCGCCCCGCACCATCTTCCCCATCATTGCGGCTGCAGCTTCCACCTAGGGGGCTTTGCTAGATTCTCTGTCATGCACGTTTAAGACCCTCTTTTATTCCCCTGCGTCACCATCCACATAAACTGGAGAATCCTGCCTGCGCCACCCGAGGCCACTGCCGGAAACCCCAAAAGCGTGATGGGGTTGGGGGATATTTAAGTGCTTTACCGGAGCCAGTCTCGGCAAACGACAAACAAAAGCTGCAAAAGCAGCAGAAAGTAACCTAGAACGTCTTCAAAACAAATGATGTGTTCGCACTTCCCAGCCCCTCATCCACATCTCCTCTCCACCCCTCTGGTGGGCTCACGACCACCTGTCGCATTCCGATGCGCTCATTAATACCCCCTTCCCAGACATCTGCAGCCTCATTCTCCGTACTTGGAGCTCAAGATCTGTGGCTGCCTGGGACTGGGGGTTCAGCTAAGGGGTTCAAAGGTATTCTGGGGTGATACAAACCCTCCTGCAGTCCCTCCCCCCCCCCCCGAGAATCAGTTGGGGAGGGAGGGTTTCAGCTCCTGTACTCCAGCATCCCGAGGCCCACGTCTTGCGTCACGTGTCCTGCAACGCAGGAGCGCTTTCTCTCTGGCCAAGGGAGAAGCGAGGAGAAAGACTCCAAATCAGTCAGGGAGAGGAGAGGAAGGAGCCAAAACATCCCTGCGAGGCCTGCGCTCATCAGCCCCCTTACCCAAAGTCCGGGGCTGCTGAAGCCTGAAGCGGTCTCCTGGAGTCGGATCCAGCTCTTCACCGGGACCGGCGTCCTCTGGTGGCAGAGAGAGCGCGCAACTGGCGATTTTCGGACCGAATCGGCACGCTCCTCATATCCAAGCAGGCGGAGCTGGCCTGGAGCATTGAAAGAGAAGAGGGCACAAGGGTAGGCCAAGGGGTGGCTGGCCAGGGGACAGCCTGAGGGGATAAAAGTGACCAGGAAGGAGTCAAGACTCCACCAGCAAGAACTGAGTTGCTTCTGCCATGGTCAGGGATTCCAGGTTCTGAGTCCCCAACCTCATAAGGGTTGGAAAATAAGGTTGGAGAACTTTCCAACTAGTACTTTGATATTTTTGAAAATAATTTTTGACCCTAGTTTGGTTGGGTGCTCCGTCTTACGGAGCCCCAATATATTTTAAGAGACCGCCACCGTGTTATGGGCATGCGCAACCGCCTCGACGGCAATAATATGTCAGGACAACGCAATATCCCCCCTGAAAACGGGGAACAGCCCGAGCAACCACCCTTGGAGGCCCCAGGGGCAGCTGCCCCCGGTGCTGGGCCTAGCCCAGCCGAAGAGATGGAGACCCAATCGCCTCACAATGAGCCCATCCCCACCGAGAGTGACGAGGCCTGTGGACCCCCAGAAGTCTCCAGGCCTAACTTCCAGGGCCTCAACCAGACCTTCGAGGAAGCCAGAGCAAGCGGAGGCTACAGCCCACCTCCTGAGGAAGCCATGCCCTTCGAGGTCGAGCAGCCCAGCTTGGGAGGTTTCTGGCCTACCCAGGAGCAGCCTGGGTTCCCCATTGGGCCCCCTGCAGGCCTCGAGGCCTTCAGCCCAGCACTCATGGAGCCCGGAACCTTCAGGGGTGAAAGACCAGGCCTGGGAGGATACAGTCCTCCACCAGAAGAAGCTATGCCCTTTGAGTTTGACCAGCCTACCCAGGGAGTCTGCAGCCAACCTCTCTTGCAGGTCCCAGACCTTGCTCCGGGAGGCCCAGGTGCAAGGGTCCCTGGAGCTCCTCCAGAGGAGCCCAGAGTCCTCCAGCCTGCAAATGCTGGCTTCAGAGGAGGATATAGCCCTCCCCCTGAGGAGACTATGCCATTTGAGCTTGATAGAGAAGCATTTGGGGATGACAGCCCACCTCCCGGGCTCCCCCGAGTTATCCCACAAGTCGTCGGTGGCAGCCAGTTCACGGCAATCGCGGTCCCGAGTGCGGTCAGCCTCGCTCCCTCCGCAAACGCGCCACCCCTCTGGGTCCCAGGCGCCATCGGCAGCCCAGCCGGAGAAGCTATCAGACCTGCTTCTAACTTCGCAGTCGATAGCCCCCCGATGGAGATCTCCGGACCCCCGCTCGAGATTGGCAGCGCCCCCATTGGGGTCGACGACGCTCCCGTCAACATGGACAGCCCCCCAATCGCGAATGACGGCCCGCCCATCGAGGTCTCCGGAGCCCCAGATAAGAGAGAGCGAGCAGAGAGACCCCCAGTTGAGGGAGAAGCAGCCGAGATGGAAGGAGGCTCGGCTACCGCTGCTGCGGAGGAAGGAAAAGTCCCCTCTCCAGGGGACGGATCCCCTACCGCCTCAGCCGATCCCGATCCCGACATCCGGGCAGACCCTGCCGACCCAGCGGATCCTGACACCGGAGCAGCCCCTGCAGCCTCAGCAGATGCAGACGCCGGGGCAGACCCTGACGCCGGGGCAGACCCTGACGCCCCAGTCGATCCGGACGCTGGGGCAGACCCTGCCACGCCAGCAGATCCTGATGCCGGGGCAGACCCTGCCGTTCCAGCCGCTTCCGACACCGCCCAGGGAGCCCCAGTTGATCCAGATGCCGGGGGAGCCCCGGTCGCCCCAGCCGATCAAGACGCCGGGACAGCTCCCGCCATCCCAGCTGAAAAAGATGCCGCCGAGGGAGCCCCAGCTGAAAAAGATGCCGCCGAGGGAGCCCCAGCTGAAAAAGATGCCGCCCAGGGAGCCCCAACTGATCCAGATGTCCAGGGAGCCCCTGTCACCCCAGCAGATCCGGGCACCGGGGCAGCTTCTGTCGCCCCAAAAGATCCTGGTGCCAGGAGAGTCCCTGCTGCCCCAGCAAAACCAATCCCCAGGGCAGTCACTGCAGCCCGTATCCCTCCTGCCGCCAGAGCAGCCGCTGCCGCCCGGGCAGCCGCTGCAGCCCGGGCAGCCACTGCCGGCTATGTCTCAGGGGCCAGACGCAATCTCCATCACCTTAGACCCCCCAGCCCCGAGATCCAGGCTGCTGACCCGCCTACTCCGCGGCCTACTCGGGCGTCTGCCTGGCAGGTTAGGGCTGAGCGTGGCCGAGGCTGCAGCAGGTACGAGGAGGAGGCAATCGGCGACGACGATTCCTCCAGCGATGAGTCCGAAGATGGGACCTCCGGCTGCTTCCAGTGGTTGCAGCGCCGAAATCGCCGTCGCCGAAAGCCCCGGCGCAACTTACTCCGCAACTTCCTCGTGCAAGCCTTCGGAGGCTGCTTCGGTCTTTCTGAGAGTCCCCAGCCCAAAGCTGCCACGAGCCCCACCAAGGTCAAGAAGGTATCTCTGGCAGAGAAGCGCAGACAGATACGCAAAGAAGCCATTGAGATGCGCGCCCAGAAGCGCGCAGCGAAGAAACGCAGCAAGCTCATCGACAAGCAACTTCAGGGCGAGAAGATGGGTTACATGTGTACACACCGCCTGCTGCTTCTAGGTAATGCGGCGGACTCTGCCTGTGGGCAGCAGGGCCGCCAGGGTACCCGGGGAGGGGGTGGCAGGGTTGCCCGGTGGGTTTTGGGGCTCAACAGTGGGAGGAGGGGTCCGGACAAAGGCGGGAAGATCCTGCTAGAAGTTCAAGGGAGGGACCCTAACTTTGCCCTGGGAGCGGGAGGGATTTGGGTGGGTTCGGGTGGCCGAAGTATGTGCCCTCCAGGGAGAAAAGTGAAGCCGAGCGACACTGGGGGTCGTTTCCGGCTGGAGAGGCCAGCGCCAGCGCCAGCGACCGTAAGCTGGACAGGCGGGGGCTTCAGGTGAGCCAGGAACTGCCGGGGAGGGGCCTCTGGTCTCCCCTGGCTATGTTGGTTGGGGTCATGGTGGGCTGGGGTCATTGGGGAAGGCGCGTCCCCGCCTCGCCTGGCACGGCTGCTTTGACTCAGTCAGCTTGTTGTTGGTGTGTGTTGGTGTCCATATTTTGTGTCCGCCTGTGCATGTTACGCTCAAGTGTTCCCCAGTTCCCATCCCCAGCACCCCCAAATTACCCGCCGACTGTGTACTTGTACCTGAGAACAGGCTGTCTTGTGATTTGCGCCATGGCGCGGGCAAAAACTTTCCGTGTTCACGCACTCCAGTGGTACCTGTGCGCGGTCGCTCTGCAGCGAGCGGCGCGAAAATGCAGGGAGAGGTGGCGGGGCATCCTGGGTAATGCGCTGGGCCGCTGGCCGGGGGAAGAGGGGTCGCTTCTCGCGGGCCTCCATAACCTTTTTCCTGTATGTCTTTCTCTCTTTTTCCCTTTGCGCTAAGCGTTTCCTCACTTCTCATTCGTTCGCCAAACCCTCCCGCCTTTACGGTTGAAAAACCAGACACACAGGTATCTGGGGCTCTGGGGCTGCAAACATAATTTCTGTATTCTCCACACACTCTCCTTACCTGGTGGGAGGCTGGAGGGGGCGGGGGGAACACAACCCACTGTTGGCAAGTCCAGATCCAAAACCACAAGGGACTGGTTCTGAGGGGGTGGGCGTGGCTATGTTTTTAAAATATGATATAATTATTTTTACTAGCGAAGAGCCCGAGGTAAGCCAATCATTTACACTTATACAAGGAATACAGTAGGAGGGGCTTGGTTTAAAAAAATGGGAGTTGGTGTTGGGAGTGGAATGTCTTGTGTTGAAATACAATTAAAATTTAAAAAAAAAAATTAAATGTTCCAAATGCATTTTAAGTATGTGGACAAAGTATGGAAAACTGTGACTATGACTTATGATATGTGTTTGCATGTGAATTTTTTCAAGCAGCTTTAGCTGGGGGCAAAAGGCTTACAGGTAAGGTCTTCTGCCAATAGGCTTTGAATAAATAAATAAATAAATAAAAGGGTCTTGTTGATTAAACTTAAAATACTATCATCTAGAAGAATGCTTCTGGAGGCCCTCACCTCCCCCGCTCCACCTTTCCCCAGCTCTCAGTGCCCCCATCCCTCTACAGGCCCTTCCCTCCACTGCAGACAACTTATGTCAAATCTGGGATATTAACTCTTTTTGCCACAGTTAAGTAAAGCATCAGTTAACACTGGTCTGAATCTGTGACTTAAATGAAATTTGAAAAGTAAAGCTCCATAATCAACTTTTGTGTTTACTAAGACCTTTCAAGGGATTTCAAGATCACAATTTCTCATGCTGTGCTACATTTGTTTGTTAAATATTTTAAAATATGTGATGGTTTTTATTAATGACAGTATTGACATAACTGTGCTGCTGTTATGTGTCTCCTGCAAATCACAGTTTTCCATGTTATCATCTTATTTATGCCTTCCTGGGGAAACAATGACATTATCATTCACCCAAAAACATAAAAAGGAAGTAGTTTGAAATTTCAGATATCCCAAAGCCACAGAACCTTCAATGACAGTGTACTGATTTTGCCATTACAGACCCACTTCGATATTTCAAGCTTAGTTCTGGGAAGCAAACTTGTGAACTGGGAGGAGGGAGGGACACAACTGGTTACAGATAGGAGATCCAAGTGATGGTGCCCACCTGACCCCTACTTGGCAAATTGACAATGTCCCTTACATGTTGGAGCCTCAGTTGCCATATTTGAGAAATTAAGCTTCTTCCTAGCAAATCTTCACTAAGCTGTCCTCTCAAGAATGGGGGCTCATACCATTATGCAACCATCAATCCTGCAGCAAACTGTTCATATCTGGGGTCAGGAATTAAAAATTTTAGAAGTTTCCCTTTACTCCTCTTTAATTTGTCTTCAGGGGAAAAAAATTAAACATAAGAAGGAAAAATGTTAGGATACTTTTGCTCCTTGGGTCTTGGTAGTCAAGCAAGTTGGGATATAGCATTGTACAGAAAACAAGCTGATATACGTTGGGCCAAAGCTGGCCTGTGTTACCTGCTTCCTGAAACCATAGCAGTGTAGCTTGTCAAACCAGGCTACTTTCCCAGCAGGCTGGCTTCATCTTGCTGAAGTGACAAGAGAGGTATCCCATCTGGGCCTGAGTTATTGACTGAGGAGAGAGCAAAGAGGAAGAATAAAGACTTAGTTAAACTTAGGATAAGAACTTTTTGCTAAATTTCTAGTCCCAACACGTGAAACAAGACATCCACACATTCCTACCACTGAAAATGCAGGTCAGGTGTCATCTTTTGACATGGTTTCTACTTTGTGCCATTCATATTCATCCATTGCTTTAAAAATGTGTTGTTTACGTGCATATGCTTCCTATTTTTATTGCCCAAATACCTTACCCTCATTACAAAGAATGTTAAAAAGATAGAAACCAATAACATTTTGTTGGTTTCTATCTGATAATACATTATTTCCATGTTTTGTTGCCTTTTTAAATAATTTTGGTGGGCTACACTTTTTTTTGTTTTTCTTGTTTAACTTCATTCAGAAGTGACTCCTTGTTTTAAGAATTGAAGAGGGCTACTAGATCAGTTTCTTCAGTTCTGCTGCATTTATTAAAATTGTACAGGCAAATGCTATATATAATTATGGCCATTCTGCTAGGACACTTTATGCAGTGAATCACAATTAATTGTATGATAATTTATTTATGTTGCCAGGTGCAACAGTGATGTGCGGCCCACCTTGTAGAAGCATTCTTACTTTTTCTTTCTTTTTTTTTTTTTAATACAGCTATTTCCCATATTTAGAATGCCTCCACTGAGCTGTTTGGTGCAGAGGGAAAGGCATGGCTTATCAGGTTACAAAATTTTAGAGTTAAAGAGATCTTTATTATTTTCCCTTCTCTCTCTCCCCCAATAGTATCCATGCTTCTCAGAGGCTGAAATTCTGTCCTGCTTTTTAAAATCTAAATCCCCATAAATAAAAATAATAAATAAATAACAATAAAAATAATAATAAATAATAATAATAAATATTTTTTTCATATGGATAGCTTAATTTTTTAAATTTTCCCACATTTTCCACCATGAAAAACTGGTTTTAAGCAAAGAGAATTAGTGCTATCTCCTTTCTGTACATCCCCTCCTGACTTGAAAGTGAAAATCTCACTGTTCTCAATATTGTTGGTGACTAGTAATGATAATAATAACACTTTCAGATTGCATTTTACATTTTTAAAAGTCTTCTATCTAGGCACATTAGTCCTTTGAAACAGTTCTGGGCAATAAAAACATAATAGGACCCCATTTCATGGTCAAATAAAAAAAGAAAAAATATCAGGGACTTTTTTTCAGAGACTTCAAAGGTAAGTAAAGGACCTGAGGTTTCTATTTCAGATACCATAATGCTTACCAAAAACATGGTAATAAGCTGTATGGCATTATTTAAGTGTAAAGCATGATTGCTGTAAATGTGTTCTGTGCTCCTAAAATCCCTTGTCAGTGACAGGTGTCTAGTAGTCTGTTGCTTTCTGAATTACAGCCAGGCCCTACCAGATCCCTGGTTATAAATGTCCATTGAGTGTACATGAAATGTGAGCTACCCATTTCTGAGATACCTGTCATTGCTATGGTGATATTTAATTTCCACATTTGCTTGAACTCATCTGCCAGCATGGCAGCACTGCAGTCTTAGTTTATTTGCAGATTTTTTTTTAATTCATCAGTAGTTTTCTTTAGCAGAGTCTAAAACTTTTCTTTTTACTCAGGTTTCCAATTATAATAATAATAGTAATAATAATAATAAATATTATTTCCAATAATAGTAATAATTATTATTTTAAAATAAAATGCAGTTGCTTTTACACATAGCTCCTCTACATACCTACCTGTGCAGTATTAGGGTGTTTAGAACTCTCTGGACCTAATGAGACTATTAAAATAATGGCATAATATTTTTCATAGTTTTTTTCTGTTTTAAAAGTAGTCCTTGCTCTTAATTCAGGGATAATTCCCATTTAGAAAGAAATTACCTTTGTTTATGCAGAAAGGTTGATATTAAACAAAAATAAATTTCTTTTTAGAGAAAATAACCTAATGTACCAGATTTTAAATTCCCAGCATGCCCCATTTTTCAGAGTCAATTTCCACTCTGAAATTCACAAACAAACACACACACACACACACACACACACACCACCCCATCCCACCCCCAGTAAAATGGCAGCTCTTCCAATGCCTCTGCACAAAATACCTTTTAGGAGACACATAAAAAGCAAATGAAAATTGATTTCTAAATTTCTTGGGGTTTTGGTTTTTGTTGTTTGTCTAAAGCAAAGATGGGGTTCTTCCCAAACCTAACCTGCCCCTTCTAAGGCTTTAATGAATTGCAAAATTGACATGTTATTTGCCCATTTTAATATTAACTTTCTCAGGAGGAGGAGTTTTCGAAATAGAAAGGACAGAGCCAATTGATGCAGCAGGGTCTCACCATTAATTAAAGCAACCAAAGGGAACTAAAAGCAGTGGTGAATCTAATTAACCTTCTCTACCCCTGGTGGCCCCCCACAATAGGAACATGAATCCTCACACCCACCATAACAGATTTCATTGAATTGGACTAGATGAATCTTTGATAAGA